CTGTAAAGCCAAATGGGATGTATTTTCCTGCAGTGATACTGCACAGCTACATACATCTGCCGCCACCGCCGCCCTCTTGGTATTTGTACTTCCAAACCATTACCACAAGATGTCACTCACATATTACATTAAGGCAAGCTTGGGGTCCCAAACGACATTATCTTCACCTTAAGGCCTTTTCACTAAATCTGCACAGACTCGACTGACGTCAAAGCTGTATTGCCTCAGTTCACGGGGGGCTTAAAATAGTATTTAAGGGAGGAATGGAACAAACAATGCTGAAAGCACAGTACCTTAAAGCCATGAACGGCAACTAAAAACTGAAAATAGAATTAAAAAAATAYGGTGCAGTGCACAGCAAGGATTATTCAGGAMAAAAAAGTGGCATCAACAAATATTYCATTTTAGCACATTGGAAAAATGAAGCAGAGAAAAGTGAAGGGGACAAAAAAATAACACAAATTACAAAGCTCAAGTAGGCTAAATYGTTTTAAAACCTACATTGTCTCCAGACTTTTTCTTTATTTCTGATGTGCTCTCTCCACAACTCAAAACTATAGTGACTATAAATCAACAGTGTGAAACTTATGTGGGGAACATATGGAGAAGACATAAAAAAAAAGATGTACAATATATAAAAATAAAAAAATGATGGAGGACTTGGAGCACCAGACCTGAGCATTCAGCTAAAAATCCTAAAATTAGAACTAATTTTAAGGAGAAATGCATTTCCTTCCAGGGAATTAAATTGTGGAACAATTTGGAAAATGTCTTTAAAAACGCCAGTACGATTTTACATATTTGCTAGATTGATAAAAACATTTTCGTTGTCAAAATGACGAGACAAAGTGTGGATGATTTCTGTCAACAGAATTCCTGTCAGAGCTGTAAAAAAACAACAAAAAAAAATGTGCAATGAGTGGTTGTAATAAAGATGAAACCCGTGAACGTATTTTACTTGATTCTTACAGAACTGTGGAGATTAGAGATAAAAAGAAGTCTATCGGCTTCAAAGTTTAAATAAAGACAAGACATGTATTTCATGGACTATTTAAAGAAAACTTCACAGAGTCAAAGAGRCATTTACTCTGATTGACGAAGTGTGTTATCAATACACACATCTGGAAAACAAGAGCTAAAGTCGTCCTGGAACAAAAAGAAAACCTCAGCGAGAGGAAAATACTGGACCTCAGATGTAAAACATCTCTGTTCTGGACTGTTTGAACATTTAAATGTTGTTTTGGATTTATTTGTTAATTATGGTGGCTTCTCAGGGGTTTATTCTTGACTATCTTTAGATAAACTTTTAATGTAATTAATTTGAGTCGTGTTTGTGAATGCCTGGAAATGTGTTGAAAATTTAATTCAAGTTACAGACCTATAGTTAAAGTTCACTGTCTGAATCTGGCCACTAGATGGCAGCAAAGAATCACGTTTCTAAAAACATTTTCAAGCACAGAATGAATTTGCTGTACTACATGGATATACAAGCACAGAGCAAATTCAAGTAAAGTAAAGTCAAGTTTGATTAAATGGAAAAAATACAACACAAACTGATAGTTAAGCTATGACAGAATGAAACAAAATAAAAGAATCAAAAACAAAAAGACTATTCAAACAGCCATCCTGGGGGCTTTATGAACTAAACAGGGACTAATCCTCATGCAGTCTTTGTAATATTGTGCAATTCATGTAAATATAAAAGTTGATTAACTGAAATGTGAGCATCTTTAGTAAAATGCTTTTTATATTTTATTTATTTTTTTTTTTTTGTAATAAACTGAAATGAGTGGAAACGGAACAAAAGGCAACCATTTGTGTCCCAAATGCAGCAGTTCGGACAACAAAGAGCAAACTTGCTGACTTACGTCAAACTCATTGAGAGCAGCAGCCAGTTCTCCAATGCCAGCGTGGCCATGCTTCTCATCAGTGGGCGAGGTGGCCTGAGCAGCGCTGGAAATACCTCCCATGGCCTCCTGGACCTGCTTAAACACGTAGTCTCTATTGGCGCGTGTGGCCGCCACATCTGGGTGGCGCAGGAAGGCCTGTGAAGCYGTGTACAGCATGGTGGCATTCTTCTTCAGAGCCCCGCGAGCAGCTGCCATCTCATCTCGACACTGGGGGTCTTTCAGCTCCTAAAAAGCAACAAAATCTCTCAGGTGAACACTGTGATTTTACTGTATATTAAAAAGCATACATATATATTATAAGAAAAAAGTGCACTTTACAAAACAATGCCCTCATCGAGTCAAAAAGAGATGTGGGAAATTTTGTATCCATTAGTTTTTTAACAGCAAAGCAAATACAAAACAAAGTTCATGCCCCATTTGATAAATGGCTGTTATTCCAACCACACAAAGCTGAAGCCGTGTCAGCAGATTGGCAGCTGTGGAGCTGGACTGAATTCACTTTAGTGCTTTGCTGTGGGACAACTTGGCAGCCAGTTCAGTCAGTGACTTTATTTCCAATAACATGACCTTCATTAGAAAACATATTCCAAAACATTTTTTCCTTACTTGTAGCCATTATAAAAACAATAATCTGATGTAGTTTTTTTTTCTTGCTGCAGTGTGAAAAAAGCACAGATATGGATATTTGATTCAGTCAACTTTCCAGCTCAGTTTTTAAAGAAATAGCAAAGAGGAACTCTTCTCTGTTCTGCAAACTTACATCTCTGTAACATCAAAACAATTCATTATCAATTGAAAAAAAAAMCACATCAAAAACTGCTTGCTTCCTGTAAAAGTAAAAAAAAAAAAAAACTCTCCTTAAAAAAGTTTCACTTTGCGCATTTTTTGTTTGATTGCTTTAGCTTATATATTACATCATACTGTAGTGAAACTGTGTGAATTTTATACTTTGCTGTACTGATAAATATTTGCACATTTATGAATAAATAACAAAAAAAAAACAGAAAAACAGAAATACTCGCAGAAGTCAAGTTTTTCAAGGGGAAAAAACAGTCAAGAATAGTTTTTAATCTTTGTCCATTCATTTCTTTATTTATTTTATTTATTTACTTATTTATTTATTTTTTGCTGAAAAGCACAGCATGAAACGGGGACTTCTCAGTTACCTGCTGTCTCCGAGCTGCCACATAGTTAAGCTTCACCATCTCTTTTCCAAACTCTTTGAAGCGGTTGGCCAGGTCCTGTTCATTGGTAGCATTTTTTACCCCCTCTAGAGCCTCCTCCACCTGTTAGCAACACAAACACACGTTTACACACARACATGCACACATTATACCTACATTTTTCAGAGAAGAGTACTGATTTATAAAGAAAAAGAACTGGACTTTATTTTTTTTTTAAATTAAGTAGTAAATCTAAGTCATTTTTAATTAGCATCTTTAATTTATAGACTGTATGTATAATCTCTTTTGTTAAAGCTGGAAAGAACTGAAGAGAAAATCACTGAAGATAAACAGAGGGAACAGATATAGATATAT